GGTCAACTACAAGCAAGATTGAATCGTCTTCTTCCACATCCACAATATTGCACAAGTAATTTCCAGACAACGAAGCCTCACATGAAATAAAGGTTAGGAGTCATATCCAATTCATCTGCAAAAAGTTATGACAAGTTGTTTAAGGAGTTGCACAAATGCTCGTTTTCTATCTCTATGCATTTGTACAAATGAATCTGAAACAGTGTTTTTAGAAACAGAGTTCAAATGCCCACTTTTAGCCTAGAAAAGAACAACATGAAGGACACTCTATTTCTCACAGCATTTTTAAAAATTTCTGCTTGATGCAGTGATGCACAACATGCAACTTTCTAATTGCTACTACATTTCCAATTTCTGCCTAGCCAATAGTGGAAGATGCTGGGTGATGAAGAATGACATATTATGTATTCGAGTGGTTAAGTATTTGCCTTTTTATTGTAAATTGCTTTGATATGTTTTATGCGAAATAGAACACTATTTATATAAGGAAATTAAACTAAGAAATACTGCTTCTATCTCATATGAACCTTATTTTCTACTAGAAATGTATTTATTTTATTTCTCTGAAATTCTGCCTTTCCTCCTGGAACTCAGGGGGTATACATAAATAAGAGAGAGAGACTGAGAGAGTAAGAAAGAGAAAGAGAGAGAGAGGGAGGGAGAGAGACCAGCCCAAAGATACCCAATATGTTTCCTGAAGGTGGATATCAAGCTGGGTTTCTCAAGTCTACACCTTAACAAAATGTGATACTGGCTCTCAATACTGTCTTGGATCCTACACTTGTTTTTTGCCAGTTCTGAAATAATTCTGGCTAAAACCAGATAACACTACATAGTATCTTAACATAGTTAATTCCCTCCTCAGTTCCTGAGTCTTCAAAGCAGAATGAAAAGCTTCAGTTCAGATCCAACCAATAAGGGACTTAGTAGGCATTGAGTCCAGTGATTGGGATATTCACAATGAAACACTACTGTAGCTGTTGAGACTGGGTGGTTCTCTCACTACCAAATTCTACAGATGTTTGCAAGACATGAGTGTGACTTTGACAGGTTCACCTATGGCAGGGGTATCAAACTGGTGGCCCACGGTCCGGATGTGTCATGTGCAGGCCACGCCCACCCAGCTCCACAAAGGCAAAAAATATCACAATACGTCACATGACGTGATGAAGTTTGACACATCATTTAGTAATGAAAGCTTAAGAGGAGGACAAAGCCCAGTCAGTGACTTGATATTTCATGATACTGGGTCTATTGTGAAAAAATGAATATTTATCAGAATTAAGAATAGTGTACTTCTACTCACTGTGTTATATGGAAATAAGTATTGAATATATGTGATGAAACATAAACTGAAGGGGATGGTAAAACCAAAAAAAAAAGGCAAAGAATGGATTGGTGCTGAATGCATATAGACTGAGTACAATGCAAGTGAACAGAATAAAAGAAATATATATAGATTTTTTGTCATAAAAAGAAAATGAATGAAAATTAAATCCCAAAATGTATCTACAAAGGAACAGTGAATGAATTGAGAGAAATGGAACAACCAAGGAAGTTATGGTTGGAAGGGGTTGATGACATCCTTAAAAAAAAAGAGAGGAAAAAAGTTTAAAGAAGAAAAGGTAATATAGTATATGAAACCCCAAAGATGCCTTTTCACGCGGCAATTGGATTTTCTTGTTTTTTTTTGAAGACATTTCACTTCTCATCCAAGACGCTTCTTCAGCTCTGACTGGATGGTAAGGAATGGAAGGATTTTTATATTCCTTGCAGACAACTGGTCATTTGCATTCTTATAGAGAATAGTTGAGGTTTATCTGTATCATCAGAGTCACCTGAGTAGTGTAAATGGATGTGGAGCCACCTTGGAACTGTTGAAAGGGCTGTGTTGTAGACTGTCCAAAAAGTCGACTTTGCTGTCTTCGAAAGAGTGGCCTTTTTCTTTTTTCTTTTTCTGCATTTCATCTTGCCTTTAGATTAAGGGAGGGAGATATTACTTTCAAGAGGGTTAAATGAAGAAATCAAACCTCTTTGATTCAGCTGAAGACCGTGGGAGCCTGAATCCTTGTCAAGGACACCAGAACAGGTGTGGATTTGAAGCAGTCAGTTCCTATAAGAAAGTGAACTTGTTGATATGAAATACGTAAGACATTGGGGGCTTGGCTGGGAAAATTATTGTTGGAACCTCAGAGTTAGTTTTGCTTCGACAAAACAATACAGTGTATTCAATAAACAGTAAGATTTTAAGAAATGGAATGAACCTGGAGTTTTCTTTGGATTCTCAAGCTGGATGTTGACAGATGGATTGTAAGAAAGGTATGGAGTGGTCTAGTGAAGAATATTACTGTAAATTAGTTTTAGATTATTTCTTATGTTTTCCTTTCTTTTAATCTTTATCACTGATGTCTGATGCTATGGCATTCATGTAGTTTTCCTTCAGAAGCTACAAGCACATAGGCATCAGTTACCTTCCTAGATGGTAACATATCCTAGATGCACAAATTTCACTATGTGTATTTATGATGCTGTTTCCATAATTTGCTATTTTCAAATGAGTTGAATCAGACGCCACCCAAAAAAGCCCTCTCTCACTTGTGAAATCCAACTTAATGCACTGTCAATAAAGACCTGAGGTATATTATCAGAGAAGAGAATAGAGAAGGGGTCAGAGAAGGTCTCAGACAAAGTGGGAGGGAGCTGGGTCACAGCCGCATGACAGAGCATATCGCCTTGGTCTGCCTGTGGGATTCTCCTCAGATGAAGTCACAGTTACCACACTGAATATTAACATGCTGGGAAAGCCTTCTGTAGAACCCTCATCTGACTAAGAATGAGAACACAGGGAGGAAAGGCAACTAATTTACAGTTACTCTGACTTAACCTGTGATCAAAACTCCATTAGAGGCTTACATTTAATAACATTTAAAGTAAAAATTACTTATTTGAAGTAGTTTACAAAATATGGCCAGTGAGTAATGTATGTACTTTACTCCAACAAAGATAATAATGTGGTTGCTAATTATACTCTGTCTGCATACTGAAAGCCAGAGGTAACTGTGCAGCTTAATGCACATACACATACACACTCATTCTTAGATGCCAGGGTTTTGTTTTGTTTTTAAGAAAAAAATATTCCCCTCCTTCATCATCCCACATTGTCTTTCTAGGGGTAAAACAACAGTCCTCTGTGAAAACATATATTCTATGCTCTTCTCAACATCATTGATCGTTCATGGCAAATATTATTGGAGAAATTTCTACTTTATCATAAGGAATGGTATTGGCATTTCATTTACCTCCTGATGTGTAATATTTAAGCTTCATATTTGGACAGAGCTAAGTCAAATAAGGGGAATTAAACTTATTTTAGATAGATAGGCCTGTTCAATTAGCCTGCCACAGACACATGCTGGTGGCGCAGTGGTTAAATGCAGTATTGCAGGTAAACTCTGCCTGCAGCCTGGAGTTCGATCCTGATGGAGCTCAAGGTTGACTCAGCTTTCCATCTTTCTGAAGTTGATAAAATGATCAAAATTGTTGGCGGCAATATGCTGAGATCATCATAAACCACCCAGAGAGTGCTGTAAAGCACTATGGAGAGGTATGTAAGTCTATATGCTATTGCTATTGCTAAATGCTGGACTGTCTCCAGTTTCAGAAAAAGCTTGGAGTTTTCCCTAAGTATCTGGTGGGCAGCTTGGCCCTGGTTGCACCCTGGAATGGATGCATGTCTGAGATCTTGGACTGGATTACTCCTATGCGCCCTCTCTGTGCCAATCCTGAGTTCACAATAGTTTTCTGGCTCCAAGAAAAAGGCAAAAGGGTGAACCCAACCAGAGTAAGAGCCCATTTTCAGGCCCCGTAGTTACAAGGTTGGTGAAACATTGCTATTTCTGCACCTCAGTGCATATTCTGATGACCCTGTGCATATTCTGATGACCCTGCTAACCTGTGACTCTGTCTAGAGTGATCCATTTGCTACTGTTTAAAGTGACCAGGGGAAGTGTAGGCCACAAGACCACTTATAGAGCCACAGTGAGAATTGTTCACACTACCTGGCAGATAGTCACTTACATTCACTTGGAGATGGACTCTGGCAGACAATCAATTTGATTAATAAAATGATTAAGCCCAATTGTATAAATGAATGTTATTTGGAAATTTATAAATTATATCTAATTGGGACATTACTCAATGGGTAGTTGAATGTGTAGATACGCAGTGTGAAGCTTGACCTACTGAAATTCTCAGTTGTTGGGCAGCTCTCATCTGCGCTCATGACTGTACTTTGGGGAACACTAATACATATTGCAACAGTTCTTATAAATCAAAGTGTTCTCAGGCCACTTTTCTCTGGATGCAATTTATGAATGAAAACAATAAAATCAATTCAGGCTGCTTTTTCAGAACCGGAGCAGCAGTTCATCTCTAGCCAGTGGTTGTGATACACAGACTTCGCATTTCACTGCTTGTTTTTCCATATCTAGGTACATATTTCCAGGCTTCACACTATGTTCATGTGTGTATTTTTGTGTGCATGTGCGTGTATGTGCGCAGTGCGTGCGCACACAGTCACCTTTTAGGGAAAGGTGCTTCAGCAGCCATTCCTGGCAGTTGAAATGATATGGCTTCTGCCAAGCTCTGTCAACTCTGATTTGTGTTAGGAGTCTAGCATTCCTTGGTGCTTCCTATCATCTCCCTGAGTTCAAAGAGCCCTTAGTTGCTTGTCTTTGTCAAAAACCCTGTAGGAGATCTTTTATGTCGAAGATGTAGGATTTCTCCCCATGACTTTGATTATTTATTCATTCCACTTCTCTGGTGTACTCTAGGGCTGCTATCACTAAGACCCCTTGTCTGCCTCGCACTTGCTCTAAAATGCATGGAGCTTTACTGCCTTTGAAACTATGGGTTTAAAAAAATAAAATAAGATACGGTGAAGAAGTGTGTTCTTTTTTTTTTTGAAGTTCTTTTTCTTTTCTTTTTTTTTCCATCCACAGTTCCACAGCACATTTTTCCAGCCTTCCATTCTCCTTTGCCAATTGACATGCGTCACCAAGAAGGAAGATACCATTATGAACCTCACTCCCTTCACGCGATTCATGGGTAAGTCTTGCAAGTTCCCTTTCATAGCATAGCCTTTCTTGCATTTTATGATGTAGAGAAGAAATACATCTGTTACTGCTGCCTTTCCCTTTAGAAAGGCTAAGGGGGTTTCTCAAAAGCCTTTGGCTGAACTTCTGGAGCACATGGGAGCTATACTGTAAGATAACATCTCTAATGGGCAAATAAGGGGAAGGCTGTGCTAGTGTAGCAAGTAAGGCATTTTTATTCAGTGACCAACTCATTGTATTCCTGGCTTCGCCAAAATCTTTTACTATTTCCTCTGTATATATTTCCTAACCTGAATGTCCCTGAGATTTGGAAACATAACATTATATAAATCAAAGTGATATGCATTTTTATATATAAGCTGTCATTCCACTGTAAATAATTCCATTGCTGGTCATCTGTGTGATCGTTAGATGGGAGATCACATCATTGTGTCTGAGTGCATTGATTCAGAATCCAGCATTCTAAGGACATACAGTCTTCTTTTCAAAAAGCAAGTTTCTAGTCCTTTCTATTGGAGATGTGGATATAGATAATATTGGGTTGACACAGTGGCTGGGGCTAGGCTATTGTCACAGGAATGTCAGTTTTTTTAATGTGCTTGTTCTTTCTAGTAACAAGCATAAATTGAATAAATTACATGAATACTCAAATCTCTGCAAATAAACCCATGTTTATTTGTGAATTTAAGAGTTCAATATTGATGACTGCATCAGTGCCATTCACTGCAATCAATAACATAAATCTGGAAGAAAGAAACAATGGAATTTGTGGGATAATAATCTAAAACATGGATTATTAGGGGCTATTTTGAGTTGAAACAAGTGTTCCCTCTGCTAATACATCAACATGCTGCAATTATATATTCTCATATTATGCCTCTGGAAAAATGAATTCTGTGGCTTTCAGAATTGTGCACAAAAAGTACATTGCATATTTAATTTTCCCCTGAATGGTCTATGCTGTGGGTATAGAAGTATTGATCATTTAAACACTATTTTGCATACTTCACTCTGTATTGCCAAGGCAAGTAGAGTGATGAGGAAGTACACAGGCAATAAGGGCTCAGACACTGGAAATATTTATCTTTCTGTCTTTGAGATTTTAGCCAATTTTGCTTTGAAAATTGCTTTTGAAACCATACAGTCCACAAAACTTAACTACAGCAACCAACAATTGAGATTCTCAATTATCTGAGCATGTACCTAGCATCGTATTGTAGCCCCTTTTTCTGTACGGCACAATATGTTTGCTATGTAGATGAACTTGTTTTCTCCTTCTGCTCTAGTCAACTCTGGATTAGAACCCACCATTCATCAATATTGCAAACCTTCGGTGTCTCACAGGCACACCGACTTTCCAATGAATTTGTATTTCTGAGTCTTTCTCACTGGCAAGTGATAGAGAAGGATTTGCTGTAAAGCAACACAAGACTTTGGGGAGAGGGGGAGAAAAAGTCTCTCGAGAGAGGCATCAAGGGGCTCCTTAGCTGTTTCCAAATCTTGTAGCAATCGGAGGGGGGGAAGAACCCTCTTTTCATCACAGCATAATGAAGAGCTGCGCAGCTGAGGGGGTTTTCCTCCCCCTTCTGGAATGTTGTTTCCGGATATTCCCCCCCCCCCTTTTTTTTTTTTTTTGAGAAGAGGAACTGCTGTGAGGATGAAGGCAGTCTGAAGGCCTGACAGCTGGGCAATTTCATGCAATGAGGAGCTGTGGAGGTCTTTGAAAAGGGTACTAACTGCTTCATTGTTGCACGGAAATACCAGGCACAGAGCCTGGGACAGAATGTGCTTCTCTAGCTGTTCAGAGTATCCCTCGGTGGGTTTATCACAGCCTTAGCAAGCTTGTTGATTGCTGCAGCAAAACATCCCATCGTTCTGAGGGAGATCATTAATAAAACCTCAGCAGTATTGTTGCATGTGAGACAGCAGAGCGAATGCTATAAACCTTTAGTTTTGTGAAGGAAAGGCGGTACCCAGTACTGGGGAGTGTTTATTTCTTTACAAATAAAGCATCTAGTATTTGTAGTTTTGAGGGTTATTGAGATGTAATTTAAAGTGCTTCTAGACTAAAAACTGCTAGATCAGGGGTTCTCAACCTTGGCAACTTTAAGACTTGTGAACTTCAACTCCCAGAATTCCTCAGCCAGCAAAGCTGGCTGAGGAATTCTGGGAGTTGAAGTCCACAAGTCTTAAAGTTGCCAAGGCTGAGAACCCCTGTGCTAGATGCTTTATTTGTATAGAAACAAACATTCTCCAATATTGGGCCACGAAACCTCTATAGAGTTCATTGGGATTTCCCTGGAAACAGGCTTGCCTCTGAGTCCTTATTCATTCTGAAAATTTTTCTGGAGGTGAAGAGTGAACAGAATGGAGCCATCCAGAGTATCTAGGTAAATTCTGCAAATCCCATGCACATGAATAAAAACAAGTCTCTTGTTTTTAAACCTCTAGAAAAAAATACTATTCATTAAACAAAGAATTACAAATCAGAAATTAGTAAGAAGTGCAACAGAGGCAAGTTTTTGCCATTTTTAATGTTGTAATGTGCTTAGTTTTATAGTTTTAATATGGTTTTGTAAGTTGCTTTAACTTTTGGTTGGGAGCTGCCCAGAGTTAGTTATAAAATGGGCAGCTTTATAAATGTTTTAAATAAATAAACTAACATTGTCGGTATTGCTCTTACACTGAAATAAATGCTGAGGATCTCTAATAGCCTTGTTGTTGGTATTGTTGTTCCTTCTTTACTACTCATTTATCCCAGCAATTCAGAGGGTTTACTGATTAATTTTATTAGGTGGGAATCTAACTAATCCATGAACCACTGAGACCAGTTGTCCTCAAATACACCACAAATCACCCAGTGGTTTATTACATATTATCTTATTAAGCAGAAACTCTCTTTAGAGATCTATTTAATTAGTTATAGATGGACTACTAATTTCCAGCCTCTAAACACTCAGTGCCCCACAAGAGTAGTTGCACCCGTTGCTAATAACTGGTTTGATTAAAAAGATGAAGGCACCAATGTAGGCCAGCTCACCTAGTAGAATTCCTCTCCCTGATTGAAATGCATATGTTTAACCAGATTTATTATTTAGACATGAAGTTGCAGCCAAATAAAATAAAATGTTGTATTTAACTGTTTAAAAAAGTGACATCAACATTTTCAATTTACTTTGGTACTAGAAGGTCCATAGCAAGAAGCTGTTGTAAATGAGAGGCCTTTTCTGTCTCCTTGGCAGAAAATGTAGTGTGGAAATCAGAGAGGATGGTTTTCATTGATTCCAGACTGAAAACAACTTAAGAACAGGCTTGTATGTATGCTAATAGAAGAACCTGGCCAAGAATGAGCTGGAATGCACCCCTTAGATACAAACTGATAGGACATCAAGTCAGGAATAGAAATAGGAACTTGGAAGAATTCCATCATGGGTCTTCTGGCTAGAGAAAATAAGAAATAGGGGAGACATGATAGCAGTTTTCCAGTATTTGAGAGGCTGCCACAAAGAAGAAGGGGCCAGGTTGTTTACCAAAGCACCAGAGGGAAGGATGAAAATCAATGGTTGGAAACTGATCAAAGAGAGAAGCAACCTGGAATTAAGGAGAAACTTCCTGACAATGAGGATAATCAACCAGTGGAACAGCTTGCCTTCAGAAATCGTGGGTGCTCCATCACTGGAGGTTTTTAAGAGGAGACTGGGCAGTCACTTGTCTGAGATGGTATAGGTTCCCCTGCTTGAGCGGGGGGGCTGGACTAGAAGACCTCCAAGGTCCCTTCCAGCTCTATTCTATTCTATTCTATTCCATTCCATTCCATTCCAGATGAATCCACAGTAAGAGGAGCACCAGCAAAATGAATTTGATTGACTTTCTTCTCCTAAAAAAAATCTATGGAGAGAGAGTCCTGGGCAGCTGGATTTGTTTCATTAAATGGATTAGATGACTAAGACCTCTTTTGTCTTTTAAAATAACATGCATTTTCAGTAGTTTGAGGTTAATTACCTAGACCTGTGATGGCAAACCTATGGCACACATGCCAAAGGTGGCACGCAGAGCCCTCTGTGTGGGCACATGCGCCATCACCCCAGTCCTAGGCCTTCAGCTGGGTTTTATAAAACCTTTTCACTTTAGGTCTCTGCCACCATGTGCAAAAAAAAAAAAAGAGGTTCAATCAATTTCAACTTCTTGTGGAAAAATAAAAATCTTGCAGAGTTGGAATTAATTGATTGAACTTTTTAGTCCCACAGTCTGCCGTTACCACTGTAGCCACGTCCTCCCAATGGGCCACACCCACCCAATGAGCCACACCCACCCAACGAGCCATTCCCACCCGGCACCCGACGATATATAAGTGAGTTTTGGGTTACAGTTTAGGTATTCGGTCCCTAAAAGGTTTGCCATCACTGACCTAGACTTTTCACATTCTGCCAATATGACTATGCAACCCTATCTTGTTTCACAAGATACAAGTTGTGAAGAAGTTTAATCCCTAAATGATCTCTCTCTTAGAATTTTTATTTTTCAAAAAAAAACATTTTTTATTTTTTATTTTATTTTTATTTTAAATTAAATTAAATTAAATCTTTTATTTATTTTATTATTTTATAATGTATAATTTTAAAAAAATAAAAATATTTTGGTTTTGAATATTTTATTTAAATAAATAAATAAATTTAATAAATAAATAAATATATTTCGAGTCAGAACAACTACTTTATTCTGCTTCACAAAGGAGGCAGTAAATTACTTAAGAGAATAGTTCTTTCCATTGAAGTTTCTCTCACTTTATTTTATTATATTTTATCATTTTATTTAAAAAAACATTTAAGTTTGCTACATGGCAGTTATATTTATTTTGTCATTGGAATTGTGGGCCAATCATATTAGGCAATTGAAGGCCATTCTGGGTATAAAATTAGAAGTGTGGTAGAACATTTTCAGATGAACATATTTTATTTAATGGCACAAGCCTTTGTAAATTGAAACTCACTT